ACTAGACTATAGACTAGACTATAGACTAGACTATAGACTAGACTATAGACAGACTATAGACTAGACTATAGACTAGACTATAGACTAGACTATAGACTAGACTATAGACTAGACTATAGACTAGACTATAGACTAGACTATAGGACTAGACTATAGACTAGACTATAGACTAGACTATAGACTAGACTATAGACTAGACTATAGACTGACTATAGACTAGACTATAGACTAGACTATAGACTAGACTATAGACTAGACTATAGACTAGACTATAGACTAGACTATAGACTAGACTATAGACTAGACTATAGACTAGACTATAGACTAGACTATAGACTAGACTATAGACTAGACTATAGACTAGACTATAGACTAGACTATAGACTAGACTATAGACTAGACTATAGACTAGACTATAGACTAGACTATAGACTAGACTATAGACTAGACTATAGACTAGACTATAGACTAGACTATAGACTAGACTATAGACTAGACTATAGACTAGACTTAGACTAGACTATAGACTAGACTATAGACTAGACTATAGAGAGACTATAGACTAGACTATAGACTAGACTATAGACTAGACTATAGACTAGACTATAGACTAGACTATAGACTAGACTATAGACTAGACTATAGACTAGACTATAGACTAGACTATAGACTAGACTATAGACTAAACTATAGACGACTATAAACGAATAGTTTATTGACTAATCTATTGACTAGCCTATGAACATTTCATTAACTGGTTAATCGTGAAAATTCTTTATTTGTATCATATTTTTGCATAAAGCTTCCTGAATAGGGCTGATTTACAAAATGAAATTATACATTTCTATCATAATATTTTGTCACAGAAGCGTGTGGGATGTGTGCAATCATTTAATGAAATCAAATAAATTTAAAAAGTGGAAATAAATGAAAAGAGTCGTCGGTCGTACTCAACACACAAACATTTAAATGAATGTGAAAATTTGGCATAATCTTTTTTAATTCATTGAAAAATAAAAGGAAAATCTAACAACCAAGCCTCAAGAAAAGTCACAATAAAAACACACCTCTTAGAGTGGCAACGTTGAAGAAGAAAAAAACTAATAAAATATCAAACTGAATTAAATGCAGACAGTATGACGACAAAACAATTTCAACACATGACTGTCGTTGGATGGATATATGAATGAAATGAATGGTTGGAATGGTTTAACAACATAAGAGAAAAAAGGATAGATCAAAAGAAAATCATATGTAGGATTTAAGAAAACAAGACACAATAACGACTTAAAATCATAGAAAATAAAGACAACTTTTTTTAAAGGCAACTTAATGATTTGCAACAGTTAATCAGTGAGAAATTTTAAATTTAAGAAAAACTTAAATAAAGCTTACACTGATTAACTATAAAAGTCTGCAACATATTAAGAAGACAAAAAATTAGTTGACAAAAATGAAAAATGTTGCAATCAAAAGTCGGGTATGGTACCGGTTTATGTACGTATGTATGTTGCTTGCAATGAATTGTTGGTGGTATGCAATTTAAAGTCATGATCATGTTCATGTTTTAGTTGACAGTCCAACATAACAGACAGACATACTGAAAATCACTTTACATTTTTTCTTCGGTTTAAGATTTTTTTGTGGTCTTAGTATCTCTTAATATTAATGAAAGTAGAAACAAGTTACTACGGGTTATACTGCATCGAAATTTACTTGTAATGAGCTAAAAAAGTCATGTAAATAAACTTAAGTGAGTCATAAGGTTTTGAAAAGTTGTATGTTTTGTTTATTTTCGTATAATAACAGTAATTTTAGTTAATTAAGATTTTACAATTTAAGTTAAATTAATTATTGCAATGCATTATTTAATATGCATTGTTTTTGTTGAAAATAATTTAAACGTCTGGGAAAAATAATAATAGTATGCAAAATTGGTAACAGTTACCGTTTTAAATGGGATTATAATTGAAAATTTTGTAACAGTAAATTGTATTATTTTTTGTAGCCATGAATTTGACTCTATTATGGTTTAGTGTTGTAGACTTGCATTCTTACAAAACCCTGCAGAATTGTTAAATTACATGATCATAGACATTTCCCTTTATTATTAAGTTTGAAAAAAATGGACAAATGTGTAGAAGATCTCTACAGAAAATCATTTCAACTGTATAACTATATATCTATCTATCTATCTATCTATCTATCTATCTATCTATCTATCTATCTATCTATCTATCTATCTATCTATCTATCTATCTATCTATCTATCTATCTATCTATCTATCTATCTATCTATCTATCTATCTATCTATCTATCTATCTATCTATCTATCTATCTATCTATCTATCTATCTATCTATCTATCTATCTATCTATCTATCTATCTATCTATCTATCTATCTATCTATCTATCTATCTATCTATCTATCTATCTATCTATCTATCTATCTATCTATCTATCTATCTATCTATCTATCTATCTATCTATCTATCTATCTATCTATCTATCTATCTATCTATCTATCTATCTATCTATCTATCTATCTATCTATCTATCTATCTATCTATCTATCTATCTATCTATCTATCTATCTATCTATCTATCTATCTATCTATCTATCTATCTATCTATCTATCTATCTATCTATCTATCTATCTATCTATCTATCTATCTATCTATCTATCTATCTATCTATCTATCTATCTATCTATCTATCTATCTATCTATCTATCTAATCTATCTATCTATCTATCTATCTATCTATCTATCTTATCTATCTATCTATCTATCTATCTATCTATCTATCTATCTATCTATCTATCTATCTATCTATCTATCTATCTATCTATTTTTATATATTGATCATCTTCATCTATCAATCTATACAACTATCTATCGATCTATACATCTATCTATCGATCAATACATCTATCTATCGATATATACATCTATCTATCGATCTCTACATCTATCTATCGATATATACATCTATATATCTATCTATCGATCTATATACATACCTATCTATAAATCTATACATCTATCGATCTATACATCTTTCTACCGATCTATCTATCGATCAATACATCTATCTATCGATCTATACATATATCTATCGATCTATACATCTATCTATCGATCTATACATCTATCTATCGACCTATACATCTATCTATAGATCTATATATACACATATCTATCGATCTATACATCAATATATCGATCTATACATCTATCTATCGATCTATACATCTATCTATCGATCTATACATCAATATATCGATCTATACATCTATCTATCGATCTATACATCTATCTATCGATCTATACATCTACCTATCGATCTATACATCTATCTATCGATCGATCTATACAGCTATCTATCGATCTATACATCCATCTATCGATGTATACATCTTTCTACCGATCTATACATCTATCTATCGATCTATGCATCTTTCTACGGATCTATCTATCGATCGATCAATACATCTATCTATCGATCTATACATATATCTATCGATCTATACATCTATCTATCGATCTATACATCTACCTATCGATCTATACATCTATATATCGATCTATACATCTATCTATAGATCTATACATCTATCTATAGATCTATACATCTATCTATCGATCTATACATCTATCTATCGATCTATACATCTTTCTATCGATCTACACATCTATCTATCGATCAATACATCTATCTATCGATATATACATCTAGCTATCGATCTATACATCTATCTATCGATCTATATACATATCTATCGATCTATACATCTATTTATCGGTCTATACATCTACCTATCGATCTATACATCTATCTACCGATCTATACATCTATCTATCGATCTATACATCTATCTATCGATGTATATATCTATCTATCGATCTATACATCTATCGATCTATACATCTTTCTAACGATCTATCTATCGATCTATACATCTACATATCTATCGATATATACATCTATCTATCGATCTATATATCTATCTATCGATGTATATACCTATCTATCAATCTAAACATCTATCTATCGATCTATACATCTTTCTAACGATCTATCTATCGATCTATACATCTATCTATCGACCTATACATCTATCTATCGATCTATACATCTATCTATCGAACAAGGTGTTTCCATCGTCCTCTGATATTGTGGTAACGATCATATCGTGCCATAGCATCTTAGATTAAGAGACATATTACCGATATTTGAAAGAGAGTTGACGTTTATAGATAGCAAAGCTCGACTTATCTATCGAGGATTTTCTAGCAAGAATTTGATTTGCTTCAATAATAAAGTTTTTCAATTTGATATTGTGGTCACGATCATATCATATATTAAGAAACATATTATCGATTTTTGAAAGAGAAATGACGTAGATTGTTTCCTCTTTAATGGTGCTTCCGAATTTCATTTTATTCAAGCCATAACAAATCGCTGCTTCGAAAGTTATACTAAGAGATTTAAATTCCATAGTTTAATTTGAAATTGTTGGCTTGTATTGTCCTTATTCATCAGCCACATCATATTATAGTTTAGTTGGGGAAACATCCATACCCATTCGGATTGGTACAAATTTTTATCGAAAGTATTAAGTAGTTTTGGTCACAACATTTCACAGAATTTACAAAATAGAAATGACTCAAACTTATAAACTTTCTTCTAGTACAAAAGAAACCTAAATACCTGAAAAACTATGTATAAATCCTGACAGAAGCAATGTTTCAAACTTAAGGCAATTATAACCACGCAAACGTACTTTTTCTTTTCCGAAGAAAACCCAAAAACAGTTCACTAATTGGGTTTTTAATTTGTTTCTTTTTATTTAGTCTAGCCGAAAACAATTTTAACCAACAATTTAACAAGAAAAATTAAAAAAAAAAAAGAAAAACCAACCCACAAAAATATGTAACAACATCATTAAACTTGTAACTTCATTTTTCTTTTTTTGTTTATTCCCTCTCATTGCAGACGTCACATTTGCGTGCAACAGCGTACGGTAACAATGCCCGTAAAATCAACTGAAGTTTATACACGTCCAATTTGGAAACATGTCAGTACGCCGTGTCAACCGCAAACGCATGTGAATCAAATGTGTACACGCGTCCAGTTGGTGCACGAACAAGCGTTTCGCGATGTAATACGTCACAAATCAGCTCAACAGGTCACCTATGATTGTTGTACAGGTTGGATGCGTGAATCACCGCATGCTGATGGTTGCATGAAACGTAAGTTGTTGTAATTTATTTACAGATTTGTGGAAAAATTGTGGAGTTGAAATAATAAAGTTGAAGAATAAGATTTGTTAAAGTGATTTTCTTTAAAAGTGAAAGGGAGTGTCTTTGTTAGAATCTTTATAATAGATTATCTATGGGAGTAGAGAATTATTTTAATACATAGTAAGGAGCGCACCTATTTTTCTTATTAATTCCTTTTTATAGGACTTGTATCACATACAATTCAGACAAATTCTAGGGACCCTTTAAAACTTTGTAATATCCTTAAAAGTTTTACATTATTGTTTGGGGTATTTTGTGGACCTTCTTAAATAACATCCGGAATTACAAACGAATTTGATTAGATCCATTAGTAATGGATCTAAAGTGATTGTTCCTTCATAGAGGAGGACAATTACATACAGATGGTATTGTTCCAATCCAAACGAGGGCAATCCACATAAGAAATCCGAATAGAAAAAAACGTTTGGATCCCCCTATCCATCTTTTTTCGTCAATCATGTTCAGTGCCACGTTTTCGTCCAAAAACGACGTGTCATTACCAATTCGTTTGATATATAGTTTTCCCTCATGCATTCATGTTCTAGAACCTAACCTCCTCTAGTTCAGGGAAATAACGCAGTTGCAGTTGAAACCCTTAACAGACTTTAGACTACTCCAGTAAATATCAATGATCGTCTACTCTAGATATCGTTTTCGAATAATTTTCTTGATCGTTTCGATAGTATTAATTTTCGGCAAGATAGAGGACATAATGGGGAAGGAATAACAATTCGAATCTCACGAATGAACATTTTCGAACCTCTAGGATAACTTGAGATCGTTTTAGTTTAATAATATTGAATTGAGAGCATTTTCAGACGCAAAACTTCTGACGTAGACATAAATGGTTGATTCTCGAGTTCAACATCCTCTCGAATTCTTATCGTAATCAATCGCTTAGTTTAGAAAATATCAATGATCGACTACTCTAGATATCGTTTTCGAATCATTTTCTTGTTCGTTTTGATAGTGTTAATTTTCGCGAAGATAGGGGAGCATAATGGGGAAGGAATAAAAATTCTAAACTCTCGAAAGAACATTTTCGAACATCTAGGATGAACCGAGATCGTTTTAGTTTAATTAAAAGTGAGATCATTGTTAGATGCAAGACTTCTAACGTAGACGTAAAAGGTTAACGAGTATGGATTAGATTCTCGAGTTCAACATCCTCTCGAATCCATATCGTAATCGTTTCGATGACGTAAATTTTCGCCCCTAGACAATCTTCGATCTCTTAGTTTATAGACTGAGATCGCGACGACTTTATTACATTGTAATTGATGGCATTGGTAGATCCATTAGTACTCATGTAATCGTCGTTTCTAAACATGATTCTTCGAATTCTTCTTTGGATCATTTTGATAATGTAAATATTCGATTGGATAATTGTACAGATAAAATTGAGAAGGAATAAAAAACTTAACCTCGATAATGGCGCAGATATATACTGCACAATTTGAGTCTAATTACAAGTCTAAGTTTAGCGGAAAATATGTTGTAATCATTGCCCGATGCTGATCCTATAGTACAGACTGCCAACGTACCGACCAGAAAGTATTGCAAGTTAGTTAATCTCATACGTATTAAATACGAATCGAAGTTTATTGCGGTTTTAAAAAATGGACTATGAAGAATCGGTGAATAAAGACTTCTTCCGATCTTAAAAGAATAACCAAAAATGTTCCATAATCTAACAACTATTTTTCCTATAGCATCTGATTTCTATCCTCTCTCTTCACTTACAGCAATTTGTGCAGCTCGCTGTCAAAATGGTGGCACCTGTATGGGTCCCGAAACCTGCTCCTGTCCGGCGGGTTTTAGTGGTCGCTATTGTGAGCACGACATTAATGAGTGTAAAGAAGAGAAACCCTGTGATCAAACCTGTATTAATACGGTGGGTTCCTACTATTGCAAGTGTCGTGAAGGCTTCTCTTTACAGGCCGATCAGCAAAGTTGTAAAAAAATAGGTAAGTAATTAAAAAAAAAACAACGAATTGCAAGCAATTCAAATAAATAATTAAAATTAAACTACTTTGCTATAATGTTTTTAAATTTCAACCATCCAGATTTACACCATGATGATGCATTTGAAGCACGCGATTTAGAAAATGAAATAGAAACACAAGAAGACATCACAGCCAGATTACAAAAGATTGAAAAACAATTGGCCAACGAAAGAGTGCAGGCGAATGAATTGCACAAAACATTGCAGTCGACTTATACAATGGTGGATTTATTAAAAAATCGTTTAGTTAATTTGGTAAGAAAACTTTAAAACAAAAAAAAACTTTTAATAAAATTTAATTATTTATATGTTAACTTCTTTATGTTTCTAGGAAAAACAACAATTGGACTATAATCGTTTGCAGACAAATTTATATAATACAGAATCTCGTACTCTTAAGCTAGAGGGCATGGTTAATTTATTAATGAAATGTCGAAATGGTCCCAATGCTCATTGTCCTTAGAAATTTTAAATCCACTATTAAGAAAAAAAGTTTTATTATTAAAACAATTTAGTTTTATTTTTCTTTCTTAAGTTAAACAAATCACACACACACAGAACTGCATTTCTTTCTCGTTTAGAAATTTTTTTTTTTTACTTAATTTACTTTTTCGCTGTAAGTCTAGTTTAAGGCTTATAAAAAGGGAAATCCTATGATAGGATTATATTTTAATTTAAAATGTTTGTATGTAATATTATTTATGTAAGTAAATCTTCCCAAATTTCTTTGCTCTTTTCTTTAGTATTTTTTTGTGTACTTATACATTCATTACCTTGTCTTCTTATGTGTCATCATTCCCTAACATTTTCTTTGTATTATTGTTCGCTCGAAATTTTGAAAATTATGAAAAAAGAAAACAAAATCTTTAAGTTAAAGAGAAATATTTTCAAAAAATAATATAACCGTTATTTTGCACGTTTTAATTGTTTAAGTAAAGGTTACCATATTTCTAATTTTTTTTTTCTTTTATTTGGAAAAAATCGATAATGTAAAGCTTTTATATGCTTAGTTTTTAGAGAACTTTTATTTTTTGTAACGTATTTAAGTGTAAATATATATTTAAATAAAAATTATTTTTATGTAAAAAATATTGTTTTCAATTTCAAGGTTTTAAAATTTAACAATATGGCAAGTATTTTTTGTTTACGTTATGAGAAAATAAAGTGGCCAGATTGCAAGAAAAGGAACATAATGGAATTAGGGTTCTATAAATCGACTTTCGAATAATCGAACAATCGACTTTTTGTCGAAAAAAGTCGAAGTCGACAATTTTGTTCCAAAAAAGTCGATAACTCGACTATCGTCTATGAAAAAAGTCGAAAAGTCGACTTTGTAAATAAAAGTCGAAAAAAGTCGAAAAGTCAAAAAATCGGAAAGTCGAAAAAAGTCGATAAGTCGAAAAAAGTCGAAGAAAGTCGAAAAAAGTCGAAAAGTCGAAAAAAGTTGGAAAAAGTCGAAAAGTCGAAAAGAGTCGAAAAAAAAAGTGGAAAAGAGGTCAAAAACTCTAAAATAGTCGGAAAAACTCGAAAAAAGTAAAAAAAATAGTCGAAAAAAAAGTCGAAATAAATCGAAAATAGTCAAAAAGTCGTAAAAAATCAAAAAGTCGAAAAAAGTCGAAAAGTCGGAAAAAGTCGAAAAAAGTCGAAAAGTCGAAAAAAGTCGAAAAGTCGGAAAAAGTCGGAAAAAGTCGAAAAGTCGACCATTTATAAAATACTAAAAGTCTAAAAGTCGACTTTTAAATAAATGGAAAAGGTCGAAAAGTCGAAAAATCGACTTTTCATAAAATGGAAAAAGTCGAAAGGTCGAAAAGTCGACTTTTAACTAAATGCAAAAAGTCGAAAAGTCGACTTTTCGTTTCAACTATAGAACCCTAAATGGAATGCAATATTTTACAGGGATGGAAACTTTAATGTAATTACACTTTTTTATTATGCTTTTCAATAAAAAGTATTAGAAAATACTATTCGTTTCTATCTAAAAGTGTCAAAATTTAATAGAAAGTATATTTTTTGATAAAGAGTTGAGTTTTTAATTAAAATTAATCGTTTGTGTTGAAAATTGAATAAATGTAGAGTTTTAGATAAAAAGTAAAAATGATTTAGTAAAAAGTTTAGTTTTAGATGAAAAGTCGCTTAATAGGCAGTTGTGCAGAGATTGTGAGAATGGCTTTTTGAGAAATTTCGCTATTACACAATGTGCCTTTTAAAAGCTGGATCAGGGTGTACTAATTACAAGGTGTAATCATAAGAACATCTGATCATTGTATAATCCATAGACTGGAAACGTAAGGTTGTCAAACTCCATAAACGTAAGGTTGTCAAACTCCATAAAAAGTAATATCGTGTTCTGAGATTTTTAGTTTTTGATGAAAAAAATAAGTTTTTGATAACAGCCAAGTTTTGAAGAAACGTTGGATTTTAGATGAAAAGTAGAGTTTTTGGAGAAAAGTAAAATTTTTACGAAAATTTCAGTATTTTTATGAAAAGTCGTTGAGTTTTAATGAAAAGACAAGTTTTTGGTGAAAAGTAAAAATTTTAAGAAAAACGTTTTTTATGTTGGACCTTTGATGAAAAGTAAAGTTTTTGGTGAAAACTAAAGTTTTGGTGAAAAGTTAAGTTTTTTATAAAATATTGACTTTTTTGAATAGCAGAGTTTTTGATAAAAAGTATAGTTTTGCTAAAAAGTAAGTTTTTGATGAAAATTTGTACTTTTGGTAAAATGATTTTAAAGAAAACTAGTTTTTTATGAAAATTAAGTTTTTTAAAAAAAAAAGTCAAATTTTCGAAGAAATTTTTAGCTTTTGGCGTTGTCTGAAAAGTGTAGAAGTGTTTTGTCTGGACACATGTCTAGACACATTTACATATATAGAATTATCTCTACTAGACGTATTTCTGTAGAAGTGTCTTGTCTAAGACAAATTTACATAGAAAAGTGTCGGTACATAATTCTGTAAAAAAATGTCTTGTCTAGACACACATTTATATAGAAGTGTCTTGTCTAAGACACATTTACATAGACAAGTGCCTTCCTTAGTTTTTTCTATTAAAAATTTTCCTTTCTGGACCCATTTCTATGAAATAAATATCTTGTGTAGACCATTTGTATAGAAGTGTATCGACTAGACGAATTTCTATAGAAAAGTGTCCTATTAGTCATATTTTTTATGGAAAGTGTTGTTTTTTAGGCCCATTTACATATATAATATATATAAGTATCTTGTCTGTACATTGTTCTGTAAAGAAGTGTCTTGTCTAAACACACATTTATATAGAAGCGTCTCTACTAGAGTAATTTCTATAGAAAAGTCACACATTAACATAGAAAAGCGTCTTCCTTAGTATCATTTCTGTTGAAAATTGTCTTTTCTGGGACCATTTATATAGAAGTGTCTTGTCTGGACACATTTCTGTAAAAAATGTATGTGTCTTGACTATACACATTTCTATAGAAAAGAATTTTGTCTAGACACATTTCTTTAGAAAATAGACTTGTCTGGTCCCATTTATATAGAAGTGTCTTATCTGGACACATTTCTGTGTAGTCACATGTTTATAGAAGTGTCTAGACGCATTTTTATATAAAAGTATAAAAATTTCTATAGCATAGTTTTGTGACACTTCTAACATGTATCTAGACAGGATATTTTTGTAGAAAAGTTTCTTTTAACTCATTTCTTTTGATTAATATATAAGGCCTTTTAATATATGATTAATATATTAAAAGGCCTTGTTTTGCAGATAAAATTAGCTAAATTGTCTAAAATGTATCAAATTAAAACTACTTTACTTTTCATCTAAAAAAACAACCGTTAAGTTGAAAACATTCTATAATACAGTCTGGCTACTCTACATTTCTCATTGACTTAAACAGCTGTTCAATAACTGCAGCCAACTTCACTATTATTATTACGAAACTCTAGAAAAGGCAAAACTAAAAATAAAACGTAAATCGAAAGAGGAATTTCAAAAAAAATTAATAAAGACAAAAAACAGTGGGCTAGTAAAACTGGAAAATAAATACCTAAAACGAAGAAGAAAAACACAATAAAAATAGTAATTGAAAAACAAAAGAATCTTGGCGTACATTCATTCAAAACAATAAACAACATAACAAATACTAATAATTGCACAAAAACTAATGAAAACAACACCCCAAGTGTTTTACAAAAAAACAGCAGACAAAGTACATTTAAATTGAAACCTAAAGAAATTAATATCAAGGAAGAAAAAAAAACAAATATTTTTCTAGTAGAATACATAAATGATATCAAAAAATCAATAAAGTAAAGTTACAAAGAAAGATAATTGAAACAAAAAAAAACAATTTGCTAAATAAAGACCACAAGGGACTTTCACTTGTTAGCCCTAGCTGTGACAATAAACCTACTACAATATGACGGCGACTCCGGGTAATCCGAAAATTCCTCTTAAACAGGCTGAAATAGCCGTTAGACGTTTTAATGACATGGCCATACCCCACCATTTGGGTTTGCTGAAAAATCATCGCAGTAATATTGAGAAAAGTTTGGCCTTGGGCGATTGGAATAAAATTAAAAAAGAAGAAATAAATGCTATGCGTGTCATAAAACAGGTGAAGAATCTTCTACTTGAAATGGATGCCCTTAGAGAAAAGGTCAGGGATGAAGATCTTGAAAGATTTGATGCCATGATGGAGAAAGGCAAACAGAAGGCCTTTGAGGGTATGAAAGAATATTTGGGTAAGTGATAAGAAATTTAATTATTATTGCGTATTTGTTGTTGGTTTTATTTTGTTATTGCGATATTGTGTATAAATCAGGAAATATAAATATTGAGTAACGTCATGTATATTATATGAAATTATGACCTTTTTGGGTTTCTTGTGATTTTGAAATATTGCAAAAGTCTTTGACACCTGATGGGAGATTATAATTTTAAATTGATAAAAAATCTACTAGTTAATAAATAAATACACTTTATTAAGAAATGCAAATGAAGAATGTGTTTTTAGTATTCAACTAGTATTAATATTTGTATAAAAATCTTCAAATTTAAACTTTTCTTATAAAACATTTTTGTTATTTTTCTGAGATTAAAATTTTGATTTTCGTTTTAAATTGCTATTGATTGCAAATTATTGAAAATCGAGATTTTGAAGAACGTTCTTAAATTTTTGAGCATTTTTCGTGAGAAAATTCGACTTTATGATATGAAGATTAGACCTTTCAAAAAAGTGACAAGTCGAGTTATGAATAACAATTCGATTATTTTCTGAAGACAAGATTTGGCTGATGAATTTTGGTTAAAGTTCAAGATAGACAAACTTCAATAGAAATAGAAAAGATAGTTGTCAGATCACATTTATGTAGAAAAAGTTGCAAAACACATAGAATTGTCTTGTCTGGACACATAGAAGTGTCTTCTCTGGACAGATATCTATTGAAAAGTATCTTGCCTAGAAACATTTAGAAAAGTGTCTTCCTTAGGCAATTTCTCTTGAAAATTGCATTGTCTGGGCCCATTTATATAGAAGTGTCTTTTCTTGACCAATTTCTGGAAAAGAGTGTCTCGTTTAGACACATTTAAATTGAAGTATCTCGAGTAGATGCATTTCTATAGAAAAGTATCTTAACTAAAGATATTTCTATAGAAAAGGGACTTGTCTGGGCCCATTTATAAAGAATTTCCCGGGAACATTTCTGTAGAAAAATATCTTGTCTAGACACATTTTATAGAACTGACTCGACTGAAGAATATTTTTCTGAAGTCAAAATTTGGGTAAAAGATTAAGATTTTAATAAAAGTTGAAGTTTTGATGAATTTGGGTTAAATTTTAAGATACTAATGTAAAGCTTACATAAAAAAGAGAGAAAGAGAGAAAATTTTCAAATTGTCCAGGAAGTATACATCCAGCTTACTTTTCATAGAAAACTAAAATAAACATTTCATCCTTTAAACTAAAAACACTTTATTAATAAAAAATTCCAAAATTTTCCTTTTCAGAACTACAACTAAAATCCCCCACAAATACTCTACGTTCTCAGGGACCCTGCGATGATGATGAGGAACCTGAACACCTAAACTCTCCGGTGGAAATAGGACAAACACAAGCGTATCAAGAATCATTACCCCACATAAAAACGGATTTTCAAGCCGATGAACATTTACTAGCACAAAGACAGTCCTGTTTAGAAGAACTACAACACTTGCAGCATGAAATACGAGATTTAAATGGCATGTTTCACAACATGCGTGAACTGACACAAGAACAAGCAGAAAGCGTACAAGCCATAGCCGATAATGCCGAAGAAGCTCTTGAAAATGTACAAATTGGTGAAAGTAATTTACGTAAAGCTTTGTCTTATAAAAAAGCCATGTATCCGGTAATGGGAGCCTTATTGGGTACTTGTGTAGGAGGTCCCATAGGTCTAGTGGCGGGCCTTAAAGCAGGTGGCTTGGCAGCAGTAGGTTGTGGTATTTTAGGTTTTACCGGAGGTTCAGTTTTAAAATCTAATCCCGCTATAATGCAAGGTAATATAGAAGAAGAACAAATATCTAATAATGATATAAATACTCAAGAGGATATAGAAATGAATAAAAAGGAGGAATGACAATTGATGCCTGCTAATGCAGCAAATCAATCGTTAACAGTATGGGCTGCCTCCACTAGGCAACTAATGAATGTAAGAGCCTCAGCTGCAGCTAGATTAGATCCAGTGGCACAAGCCACAACCGGGGTATTGTGCAGTGTTAAATCATATTGTTCCATACAATAAAGAAACAAAAATATTAGATTTAAAACTAAAATCCATTTCATAACATTGTTAACTTGTTTTTATAACTTTAGACTTTTAAAACATTTCATTAATTAAGGACCTTTAAAGCAAATGGAGCATATTTTTGTCTGCTATTAAATAAGGTACTAATAAAACATATTTCATGTAGATATTATTGTTACACAATAAAAAAATAAAACGTATTTAAATTAAAAAGTGAAAAATTAGCTTAACCATTTGAAAATGTAGAGCTTAAAGTTAAGAATTTAAACAAATTGAAACAATAAACTAAAAAATAACCAAACGAAATAAATAATTATAAATTTCCTCTTATAAAAACAAATAATTTTAAAAGCTAAATAAATAAATGTATGTTGTATTTAATTTATTTTTAAGCATTGAATAAAATGCCTTTGTTTTCTTATAAAGAATTTATTATTGATGTTTTGCTTTTCTGTTGGTTTTTCTTATTTCTTGTATTGTAGTTATTATTGAGAGCAAAAGTATAATTGTAACAATGATATGGGTTGTTTGTTTAAATGTCAATAAAATTAGATGAATGAATTGTTATCAAAATAGTGAAACTTACTTACCATAAGATGAATTTTAAATGACTTGATTGTGATGAATATGAAATAGTATGTTATTGATTGTAGATTGATGGTAATACTGAAAGAGAAGTAAGAAAAAGAAAATTATAGGAATTTTAAACAGAACAGTCAGGAAATTTGCAATGTAAATGTTTACAAACGTAATTTTTCCCAGACATAAGTACTTTAAAACGATAATATTTTTCAATGAGAATTTGTAAGCGGGCGAACATGCAATAGCAAGTTTAGAACCTTGACCTAAATGGAAGTTGCAGAAGTGTCAAGCCACTCATTTATCACTATTACAGGATATTCTCTGATAGATTTCGGGACAAAACTAATCAGTCATAGAACAGTAAGTTGGATTATAGGGCATAGGTACTCTGATAGGGGTTTTAAAGGAACATAATTTTATTAGGACCTTTGTTAGCAAATGAGACATGTATATACAGGCTGCAAGCTATGCGAATACCGGAGGAGCTAGAGACTATTGAACATAAAGTGTCCATAGAATTGTACTAGAGTATACGGTCACAGGGAGAAATTATTGGCAACTAGATTCCACAACGAATTGGGTAATATTGCTGGATGTAATCCAAGCATTGTATCAGGGGAATTAGTCGCCCAGATTCTCTGTCATATAACTTTCTTCATCTTTCCATAATCAGTCTTATTTTTCTTTAGTCACTATTAACGGATAATCTCTGATAGATTCCGGAACAAGACTAATCAGTCATAGAGCAGTAAATTGGATTGTAGGGTATCAAAAACTGTATGGCCAAGGTTTTATGGATAGGCAACCAAAGTACTAATTGGACTGAATAGCTGTAATCTAGGGACTCTGATAAGGGTTTTAAAGGGATATTGTTCTATTAGGACCTTTGCTAGCAAATGAGACATGACTATACTGGACTTCTGCAGACTATGCTAAGACCCGGAGGCGCTAGATACGATTGAACATATAAGGTGCTATTGTTCTAGAGTACAGGATCTCAGGGAGAAATTTTTGGCAAGTAGATTCCACGACGAATTGGGTAATATTTCTATATGTAATCCATGCTATTTATCAGGGGAATTAGTCGTCCTTCCGGTTGAACGCTACAATGAAGTATCAAATCCTCTGTCATATAACATTCTTCATCTTTCCATATTCTTTCTAGTTTATAAATTGTTTTCTTCTTGTGTACTTCTTATCTAAGGGATTCAGAATGGTCCATAACGAACTCTGAATATAGTTGCACAATATGGGTTATGCACCCTTTCTAGTTAGAAAATGTAGACTTCGGTCAACATTTCCAGTATGAATCGAATTCACGACTTCCTGTCTAACAAACTAGAACTCTAACTACTAACATACCGCGGGAAATAAAGCGCAGGTCTATCCTTTAGAAAATTATACTTTTGTCTCTGGGTTTGGTAAAAAAAAGTATTTTAGCAAAAAATAAATCTATTTTTCCAACAAAATTTACACTTTTGCGGACAAATTGTTATTTAGGTAATAAAGACATTTGAAATTGTGAATTAAAGAACGAAAGGCAATTTCACTCTTATTCAAGAAATGACAAGAGTAAAATGTCTAGTTAAGTTAGAATAAACTTTAATCAATCTAGAAATATAAAATATTCCAAAAATAATTTTTTATGCAATAAAAAAAAATTAAAACTTAAACCTTAATTAGCGACATGAACTTTTTCATAATAGAAAACTAACTGTTAACAAGCTGCTATCTTTCCCCTATAGAAATCTACACAGAAAAAAGTTAGCAGCTCGTTTTTCATTATGAAAAAGCTACAAGTGTATAATAAAAATATTTAATATTATATTCTTTGTAGACAAGTCTTCATATTCTACTCTACAAATCTCTTCAAACATGTTGAAATTGAAAGCAAAAATCATTTGCTTATATAAAATCTACAATATTAATATAATTTTTTTTTTATAATTTTATTATATACAAAATATTTTGAAATTATTCTAAATATCAAAATATGCAAAATTTTATCCATTAGTTATATTTTAAAATTAATTTTTTGAAAAATTTTTACACTACAAAATATTTTGTATTTTTTTTTATTCCCCAAAAATGTAATTCCAATTTCCGACTTGAAACTACATATCAACCCCCCACAAAGTCAAAAGAAATAAACTTAAAAACTACCTGTATTCACAGCTTAAACTTTAAACAAATGAATTGTGGACATGGCCACACTACAAAGGCACATTGGTGACCGTCCAGTGTTGCTTGAATTTAAGTTTACGGGCATGATCCTTCTTGCGCATACGCTTGGCAGTTTTACGCGGCTTATACCAGGATGGATAGGAACCATGTTGATCTTTTAGGGTTTTAGTGTTATAAACATGAGTTTTACCGGTTTTCTCATTAACAATGGTGATTTTTTCACCTTGATCACGTTCTTCTTGCAATTCGAATGCAAGTTCATTTTCTTCTTTGGATTTTTTCTCCTAAAAAGCAAAAATAGCTAATAAAACGTTTTTTATTGGTTAATTTCAAAAAGAGCTTACATGTTTTATTTCCTTTGCACTTTTAACTGTGGCCACATCTGCTAATTGTTCCATAGTATCGCCATCTTCGGTGTCCATGATGCCCAAAGTTTTTTTGAGCATTGCCAATTCTTTAACTGCATAGCGTGCTCTTTTTACTTTAGCGTTTTCATTGCGTCTTTTATGGGATTTGTTCGTGCGTCCCATTTTTCTGATTTTAAAATTGTTTTTTTAAGTTTTTTCCCAAAAATTTAAGATTTTTCACTTTTTAAACACGTGTTGTTGCCCGATTCAATAAAAACAAATGAAAGACGTAAAAAGACAGTGAGGCTGCCATATTATTATTTTTCAGGTACTGTTAGATAAAGTTACCAGACGGTGTATTTGTAAGTGAACGTACACAGTAAAATGTAAAAAATCGAACAAACAACTTTTTGTAAAAAACAGTTGAAAAAAAAAAATGGGGAAAAGGAGAATAATAATGTTATATTGAAATATTATTATAGTTTTACTGAAATTATTAACTATAATAAAAAACTACAATATATTAGACTATAGAGTAGAACAAAGCCTACAAAGCATATACTGTAATGTACACTAACCTATGAACTAGAGCATAGACTAGACTATAGAATATATTTGAACTAGACTATAGACTAGACATAGACTAAACAATAGACTAGACTATAGACTAGACTATAGACTAAACAATAGACTAGACTATAGACTAGACTATAGACTAGACTATAGACTAGACTATAGACTAGACTATAGACTAGATTATAGACTAGACTATAGACTAGACTATAGACTAGACTATAGACTAGACTATAGACTAGACTATAGACTAGACTATAGACTAGACTATAGACTAGACTATAGACTATAGACTAGACTATAGACTAGACTATAGACTAGACTATAGACTAGACTATAGACTAGACTATAGACTAGACTATAGACTAGACTATAGACTAGACTATAGACTAGACTATAGACTAGACTATAGACTAGACTATAGACTAGACTATAGACTAGACTATAGACTAGACTATAGACTAGACTATAGACTAGACTATAGACTAGACTATAGACTAGACTATAGACTAGACTATAGACTAGACTATAGACTAGACTATAGACTAGACTATAGACTAGACTATAGACTAGACTATAGACTAGACTATAGACTAGACTATAGACTAGACTAGACTAGACTATAGACTAGACTATAGACTAGACTATAGACTAGACTATAGACTAGACTATAGACTAGACTAGACTAGACTAGACTAGACTAGACTAGACTATAGACTAGACTATAGACTAGACTATAGACTAGACTATAGACTAGACTATAGACTAGACTATAGACTAGACTAGACTATAGACTAGACTAGACTATAGACTAGACTAGACTATAGACTAGACTATAGACTAGACTATAGACTAGACTATAGACTAGACTATAGACTAGACTATAGACTAGACTATAGACTAGACTATAGACTAGACTATAGACTAGACTATAGACTAGACTATAGACTAGACTATAGACTAGACTATAGACTAGACTATAGACTAGACTATAGACTAGACTATAGACTAGACTATAGACTAGACTATAGACTAGACTATAGACTAGACTATAGACTAGACTATAGACTAGACTATAGACTAGACTATAGACTAGACTATAGACTAGACTATAGACTAGACTATAGACTAGACTATAGACTAGACTATAGACTAGACTATAGACTAGACTATAGACTAGACTATAGACTAGACTATAGACTAGACTATAGACTAGACTATAGACTAGACTATAGACTAGACTATAGACTAGACTATAGACTAGACTATAGACTAGACTATAGACTAGACTATAGACTAGACTATAGACTAGACTATAGACTAGACTATAGACTAGACTATAGACTAGACTATAGACTAGACTAGACTAGACTATAGACTAGACTATAGACTAGACTATAGACTAGACTATAGACTAGACTATAGACTAGACCAGCGGTTCCCATCGATTTTTACTTCGCGGACCCCTTGAAGAACTTATTTAATTTCGCGGACCCCCATACATATTTTGATATCTTATTGTTCTAAATAATTGTCCATCCGAAAATTGACCTAGTTCATTAATTCCTAGGTCTAATAAATGTAGAGATGTCATATCTATAAAATATTCCCGTACATTGAGAATACATAATATTTCAGATAGGTTTTCAATTGCATGTTTTGAAGATAGAATGACTTCTTTGTTGATATGTTAACATGATGTTTAATTTTATGATCGTGAGATCTTTCATGTTCATTTTTCTTCAAGGTAGCGAAAAGGTTTCTTTATCAAATATTGTCACATGTGCTTAAGGAGTCACGTTTCAAAAATTTGTTGCGATTGCAAAGGGTGAACTGAGTAAGTGAGCTAAGTTTTCGGGAAAATAATATAAGAAAGTTGGACTTCTTCTATGTTGTTGCGGAATGCGTTATTCGCATAATATATGATTTGAACTCTTTGTTAAAGTACTGTGAATTTGGAACTTAAATTTGAATTTTAAAATACCAACGAATTATTTTACTTCATGGTTTTTGGCTACATATTTACGCGAAACGCTATGGATTTTCTGATGTTAATTTAATAATATGTATTGGTCGACAAAATCAAGTTAAAATCTGTGTATCACGTCGGATTGGAATATTTATAAAGAGATGCATAAAGAGTCACCTCTGTTTTGGAAATATATAATTTTAGTCCTTTCAAACAAGAACACTTTTGCTTACAATTTGATAAACTTAAATCTGTAATAAGCTTGTCTTTGAATTGAACTTCATACTCCGGAATACCAGTATCCCTAATTTAATTGTAAGGCAGAGTATTATTTGTCTGAAATAAAAACCATTATTTCAGTACATATACAGGAAATAAAAATTACAAATCACGCAATACTTTAATTTATAAAAGTTATACAATAAATTTGTAGGGCCTAGCTTCTTCCTGATAAACAACCGAAAAAATAAAATTCAAAAAGTCACCAAAAAATTTGGGATTATTGCACAAAAATTGGAGATATTTGTACATACATATAAAAGCAGAATATTGTTTAATCATGGTTTTTTTCGTTCGTCTTCGCGGACCCCCTAGGATTTTACTACGGACCACTAGGGGTCCGCGGACCCCCATTTGGGAACCGTTGGACTAGACTATAGACTAGACTATAGACTAGACTATAGACTTGACTATAGACTTGACTATAGACTAGACTATAGACTAGACTATAGACTAGACTATAGACTAGACTATAGACTAGACTATAGACTAGACTATAGACTAGACTATAGACTAGACTATAGACTAGACTATGGACTAGACTATGGACTAGACTATAGACTAGACTAGACTAGACTATAGACTAGACTATAGACTAGACTATAGACTAGACTATAGACTAGACTATAGACTAGACTAGACTAGACTATAGACTAGACTATAGACTAGACTATAGACTAGACTATAGACTAGACTATAGACTAGACTATAGAATAGACTATAGACTAGACTATAGACTAGACTATAGACTAGACTATAGACTAGATTATAGACTAGACTATAGACTAGACTATAGACTAGACTATAGACTAGACTATAGACTAGACTATAGATTATTTTCTTTTTAATCAATTTAGGTTTTTAAACCAAATAATTTATACCCTTAGAAAAGAAATAACAGCCATAGGCACCTCAAACATATGCATATAAATTTTTCAAATTTGTCCATATACCTAATCAAATACTCACATAGATACATACATATGTATGTATCCATAGTAATGTATCTAAAATGTATCAACATCAACCCTTAAACACAAATGAAATTAAATCCAAATGAAAAATACCCTCTGCTGCATTCATTAAATAAAATGTAGAACTCTACTAAAAATACTGCTGCTTTAATCAACGCAATAACACCAGTTTATCGGTCGTTGGGTGTCTATCTTATCAATTGATGCAGACAATTGACCCAGTAACAAAAACAACTTCAGCATAATGAAACCAATGACCAGCCAAATTAAAAAAAGAAACCTGTGTTGTGTTGAACAACCTCTTTGTACCTTTCCTACAAAATTGAATGAATCCAGGAAGTGAGACTCGCTAAAGTAGAAAACAAAATAATAAAACTTAAAAATACATACTTGACGCATGCTCTTTGAGTTTATTAAGGGACTAGTGGCGGAACAATTGATTTTAGACATATACCTAGTATGAATGTGTATAACAAGAGATTTATGCAAAGGAAATTTTTATTTAGATATAGATAAAAAACAATAAACCTATTTTTAGTTTTTAGCATAAAAGAACGTGCTATAGAATGAAAAATATGTTTAATGAAAGGGAAATTTTTTGCAAAGGTACGAGAGTGTTAAATTAAGCAAATTAGAGTGCAAAGAATACACTCAGAAAATGATGATGGTTAGAATATAAATAGTAGACTGTAGACTAGAATATAGACTAGACTATAGACTAGAATATAGACTAGACTATAGACTAGACTATAGACTAGACTATAGACTAGACTATAGACTAGACTATAGACTAGACTATAGACTAGACTATAGACTAGACTATAGACTAGACTATAGACTAGACTATAGACTAGACTATAGATAGACTAGACTATAGACTAGACTATAGACTAGACTATAGACTAGACTATAGACTAGACTATAGACTAGACTATAGACTAGACTATAGACTAGACTATAGACTAGACTATAGACTAGACTATAGACTAGACTATAGACTAGACTATAGACTAGACTATAGACTAGACTATAGACTAGACTATAGACTAGACTATAGACTAGACTATAGACTAGACTATAGACTAGACTATAGACTAGACTATAGACTAGACTATAGACTAGCCTATAGACTAGACTAGACTAGACTAGACTAGACTAGACTAGACTATAGACTAGACTAGACTAGACTAGACTAGACTATAGACTAGACTAGACTAGACTAGACTAGACTATAGACTAGACTAGACTAGACTATAGACTAGACTATAGACTAGACTATAGACTAGACTATAGACTAGATAGACTAGACTATAGACTAGACTATAGACTAGACTATAGACTAGACTAGACTATAGACTAGACTATAGACTAGACTATAGACTAGACTATAGACTAGACTATAGACTAGACTATAGACTAGACTATAGACTAGACTATAGACTAGACTAGACTATAGACTAGACTATAGACTAGACTATAGACTAGACTATAGACTAGACTATAG